TTGTCGAGGAGCACCACAGTCACACTGAGGGATAGAGTCAAGACCTCACTTAATCAATGAGACTTGGCAGACACCATGTTGGGTACGGATCCTGTTCAGAGTTGACCTTCAGATCATACGCTGCAGTAAGGTTGATGAACACAGCTGTGGTTTTTAAGCCTCAAACCAGCCTCGCTATGTCCTGTTAGGCTCAGCACCTGATGCCATGTAATTAGAGAGCCAGGAGTTCTACAAAGGTTAGGCTGCCAACTGTCATTAACTGCCAATTCTTCAATGCAGTCTGGCTGCCAATTGTTGCTAGTTGTTTGTTTTACACTTATTATTGCATAACCTATAATTGATTAGATTCAGCTAAGATAAGCCTGAACCAAACTTATAATATTTATACATATGTACATAAGGGAAAAATGTGTCCTTAATAATGCTAATATCCCTGGATACAAGGACAATTGATCATAATGGTTTGTGGATAAAAATGCAACGTTTATACAATCATTTTTAAACCCTAATACAATATGCATAATTAATATGAATGCATAATTAATTTTTATTTATTTGAGGTTATGTCACACTGTGGGATCTGTTAGACCCAAAACAACCCCACAGAAAAATGACTAACTGCTGTTCTCTTAACCATCCTTTTTTCCTACTGAATCATCAGGGTCTTTCCATACCCTGAGTGAAGGACATTTTCAACATTGCTTGATCCTGATCACAAGATCCTGTTTTTGAGGGAGAAAAAAAATCAGTTCCCTTTTGAAAGATGCAGGCCACAGGATAAAAATGTGTTTTGTGCAGCTATAGTCAGTGTTGACAGTGACCTCCCTTTATAATTTTTCCTTTACATTTCCATACTGAAATTCTTTTGAAATTCAGAGATAGATAGATAGATGATAGATGATAGATGATAGATGATAGATGATAGATAGATAGATAGATAGATAGATAGATAGATAGATAGATAGATAGATAGATAGTACCTGATGATTCCTGACTCTTGATGAATGTATCTTTTCTTTTATGTACAGTGAAAGCATTTGCACCAAGACAAATTCCTTGTGTGTCCAATGACACTTGGCCAATAAAGAATTCTATTCTATCAATAGATGGTGGCAAAGACTGAAAGGAGTCTTTATTTTGGTGGAGTCATCTGGTGGCTTGTCTAGTTTTTTGCAGCATATATCTATTTTACGAAAAGAGACGTCTTTAGTGAACCACACCTGTGATCATCTCTTATTTTTTGAAAAAAAAAAAATAGACCAAGCTGAAGTGCCAGATAATGCCTTCTAAGTATGTAACTAAACTTTGGACAATTCACTAGATTTAACTGGATTTCTACTGCTGGCTCTAAATCATAGTTTGAATAACTGGCATTTAGGCTGATGAGAGTCAGATGGCATACAAGTTTAAAGAATTATCTGTTCACAATAAAGGGAGGTCATGACTATCAGTTCTTTTGCTGGTATTGTCCTTGTACACATTGAATTCTTTTGATGCTATAAGGTAACAGCCTATACTTGTGTAGATCCAAGAAGTCTGGCCTTCTACAATTAATTATACAGAAATTTTGTCAATGTGCAGATTTTCTAAGTGCCACCCAACATTTTTTTGGTATAGCATCCTATATGCCAATAACCATTGAGACCATCACAGCCAGTAATCTTTGAACTTTGGTTTACAGGTCTTGATAATTTATGTTCCTCTCCAGTTCTTTGCTTCTATTCTACTATCTCCTACTATCAATTATTTACACTTTCTTCTTTAAATCTCTTGTCTTATGTGCCAAGAATTACTGGTTAGGTTTGTATTCAGAAATTCCACAATATTTTAACACACTCATTTTTTTATTTTTCAACTCTATGTTCATACTAATTTTTCATTACTGGCACAGGATAATTTTTACAGATGTCCCAGTGAATCATTTTGGCAACTGTGCTTTATAATCTGCTAAGTGATCTTTTTTGCATAACTACTTTTTTGCCTCTTTGCATGATCTGCATTTTGAATCAGTTGTCAATTTTTCATTATTCTTATTATAGGGCAAAGCACAAAAACAAATTGCAGTGTAAATAGCTGAATTATAAACTCTGGTTTGCATACCACAATAAATGACTTCACACAACACAATGGCTATGCTTACACAACATAATAATTCAAAATGTCATTTGCTCAATTATTTTATTATTTGTATCCTGCCTTTATTCTTTTTGCAAATAACTCAAGGTAGTGAACATATCTAATATTTCTTCCTCCTCCTATTTTCCCTACAACAACCCTGTGAGGTGGCTTGGGCTGAGAGAGAGTGACTGGCCTAAAGTTACCCAGTGTCTTTCATGGCTAAGGCAGGATTTGAACTCGTGGTCTCTCGATTTCTAGCCTAGTGCTTAACACTAGGCCAAACTGGCTCTCAGTTTGCAAATAAGGGTGTTTTGTGAATCAAGCAGACTTTTCAAGCTTTGTGCTAAACTATTTAGCATAACAGCTCTGTTGTATACAAAACACATGTCCAAATGTGATTTACTCTACTGTATTTGTTTATGGCAAGTCTGAATATGAGGCACTATGGCTTAACCCATGGTTATAGTGTAACGTAGTGTATGAACCAAATCAGGTAAGGATAATTTAGTCATCCAAAGTAAACCATGACTTAGTATGCAGTATAAATGTAGCCATTATCAAGATACCACTTTTTGCCAGATTTTTCTGCTTACCTTAAAATAGAGCAGCTCAGATCAGAATTCCTTTTTTCTTTCATTAGTTAAAAAACATTTTTTCCTCTTGTACTTCCCTTCCTAACCATCATGACTGATGATCTATCACTGTTTCCTGGGAAGGAATAATCACATTTCTCAGAGCTTTGAGCCCTTTTCTTCCTCATTTACAGACTGCATCTCTCTAAAGATGCCCGTTACTCTCCCTTTCCTGCTCCTTACAATCTGTGAGTATTGGTGGGAAGGATCCTTGAGACTCTATAACCCTTCATCCTGAGAATGGTCCTTCTAGGGGTGGAGCCAGACTTACTATTGAGGGATGAAGGGGCTGCTGGCCAGAGTAAGATGATTTGGGGTGTTATGATGTTGAAAGGCTGGAAAATGCCTTTCTTCTGAGGGCTCGATTTTCCTGCTGGGAGAAATCCGGTGCAAGGACACAGACAACTGCTTGGAAGCTGGTTCTTTTTATTTTTCAGGAAGGCAAGAGATAGCAAGAAGTCTGCGTTCCTAGAGCTAGCCATCTTTGTATAATAAACCCCTGATTTTTATACCTTTTCTCCTTGTGTGTGTGTGTGTGCTTGTGTTTGTATTTCTTAATGTTTTAAATCCTGTCGGGGGTTGTCTTCATTTCCGCCAGAGGGTAAACTCCGCGGGGTGGTTTGATTGGATTATCAGTTTCACCCTAATGTTTTCTTATATTTGTTTGGTGGCAATCTCCTGTCTGTCTCCTTTGCAATATATTTTGTGTCTATTTGTTTTGCTGATTTGGCATGACCTGTTGTTTGTAGGGGATTTCTTTTTCTTGTTTCTCTAGCTTTCTTAATTACTTGGCTTTTGTCTAGGGGGCTTCTTTCAATACCTTTTATTAAATCTCTTTTCCTATGCAAGTTTGTTTTATGGCTGGCCTGATGTTCCCTTTTGGCTTTTCCTGCTTGGGTGTCACTGTCTTCATGAAGTTCCCTTTCCACAATGAAAAGGCAGAGGATAAATAATTATTCATTCATTTATATTGCAGCTTTTTAACTGGTGAAAAGTAAAGAGGCTTTCTTGCTTGCCTTTTGACTCCTGGCAATTGTCTAGATAAGTCCCTGCAGTTTTTCTGGCAAGACTTTTGAAGCGGTTTACCATTGCCTCTTTCCTAGGGTTAGGGTTAGGGTTACGGTTATAGCTGGCTTTTGTCTTAGATAGAACTAGAATTCACAGACTCCTTATTTCTAGCCTGGTGCCTTCACCACTACATCAAAGTGGCTCTTAGCATTTTCTATTGGGCACAATAACTTGTGGGGGAGGGAGGGACTTGTTATTCCACCTGAAGCAGGATTATATGTGAATTGAGCGCCTGGGGTTGGGGTGATGCATGAATCCAATCAATTTCAGCAGTTCCTGCAAACTACAATAAAACAAACAATGGTCTAGCATGACACTGAACCAGGGTTTTGTATGCCTGTCAGCCTTCCCCAGTCCAACACCTTCTGGTTCTGCTGGAGCTGAAATGTTTGGAGCTCTAGAAGTTACAACCCAACTTTTCTGAGTTTATCAGGCTAGCCACCTCAGATGTAAGACAAAAGGCTATTTCTGAGCTTCTTGGATGACACTTCTGTCCACAGTATTGCAGAGAGAATACTTGATCTACATTTAGCATCATGTTCTCCCTGTCTATATTCACACAACTTGCTGACCCATCAAAAAGAGGTAATGAGGATATGCCCACAGCCATTTTAATATCTCTTCCTCTTTCAGGACTCATTAAACAGAGGCAGACATTTAACCCAGGGGAAACATGTAATCCGAATGCAGAGTAGCCCTTATTGTTAGAGCTGCCAGTTCAGGTATGCAAAAATCCAAATGACCACTAGAAGACAACAAAAAAATGTTTGTTAATCTGCTGGTGCCATCTGGTAGTTGTGTTAATTTTCGCAGACCAGACTGATAGCTGTAACAGTTGGTTTTTGAAGAATCTATGGAGTTTTGGATTCAAATTCTGGTTTTGGTGAAGTTCAACAGTGATTGATCTAGATTTGGACAGGACACCAAATAAAATGGTGGTGCATTCATCTTTATTCCCTCTTACCTATGGGTTGGTTTTTTGTACAAATGCAGATTCTCTTTGGCTAGCATTATTCATCACCTTACAGTTTGGTTTATCTAATTGTGGTTGACTGAATAACTTTCAGTTGGAATGATTTACACAGCATGCACTAAACCAGAACCAAACAAACCACACTGGGCTTGGCACGTATGGTAATCCAAGCCTCCCCATTCTGTCTCTTCTCCAGCTCTGCCAAAGCCATCCATTGTATGGCACCAAGCTGAAGATGCAATGGAAAAGCACCAGCTTCAGTGCTCTGCCCAGGAGGAATATGCAGGCAGCTGGTTCTCCTTATACATGGGAGGCAGCCAGAAGCCAGTAGCTCAAAAGAAAGCTTTGCCAACAGAATCTAGTGCCACCTTTGAAGTCCATGAAGTTGGCCCAGATGAGCAATTCCATTGTAGCTATGAAATCTGGGAGGCTGGGAAGGCAATCCGCTCTCCACTCAGCCAGCCTGCAAACACCACAGAAAGTGAGTATTAAGCTGAATCTATCTTCTCTCTCCCTCCCTCCTTCCCTCTCTCCCTCCCTCCTTCCCTCTCTCCCTCCCTCTTGCAACAAATTGTTGTAAGTCAAGTGCTACCTGTGCATCCTATAGTTCTTCAGTGCAGAAAGCTGAAAATTGGTTTCTATGAACCTCATTTTATTTGCTATTCTCTGCAATCAAGGATAATTTACCTCCAAAGCTTAAAAAAAAAAAGTAAGAAAGAAGAATTGCATCCCCTTTTTAAATTTTGAAAAGCTACACTATATTTCAATCATAACTACGTATATGTTGTTTGAAATATGTACAGATCAGATCAAACGTCAACCCTGCTCCAAACTGGGGCAGGATAGAAGAGCACCCAGACCTGTGGAAGAGCAATTATTTTCAGTTGTAAAATTACTTCTGGTTTGTAAAAAGTCTTCAATTCCCATTGTCCTCAAAAGAAGGCTTGGCTAGGAATGCCGACTTCTAATTGCAGATATAAAAACTTGGTTTTTATCTACATTTTTTAAAAAAACCAATAAAAAGCCACACTTTATTTAAATTAGAAAAGCTTGCTTCCAAGGAAACAGATCTCGCTACTATTCTGAAAGAAAATATATTGTTTTCCATTCCTTCCTGCCTGGGGTACTGGCATACACTAGGCAGAGATTAATTTTTATTGTGTTTTGCTTCATTTGATGCTCTGGAGCAGTGTTTCCCAACCTCAGCAGTTTTAAAGTGTGTGGATTTCAACTCTCAGAAGTTCTTAAAATTGCTGAGGTTGAGAAACATTACTGTAGAGCAGGAATATCCAACCCTGGCAATTTTAAGACTTGTGGACTTTAACTCTCAGCATTTCCCAGCCAGCATGACTGGCCGGGGAATTCTGGGCATTGAAGTCCACAAGTCTTAAAGTTGCTGAAACCCTGCAATACGTAGAGAGGGTGGGGCACATACATTATAATAACCATACCAATTCAATTAACCATACCATATCAATTAACTTGGTTAGTCCTGAAGATAAATGTAAGGCTTTTGTCTCCTCCAGTGCATTACCTGAAGCCGTCAATTGTTGCAAGTCCCAGCACAGAAATCTCAGTGGGACAGGACTGGATACTCCATTGTTGGGCTCCCTTTTCAGGTGTCAGCTTTGTCTTCTACCAGGCCAGGGACTTCCGATATGAGGTCACTCCTCAAGGGAACTCCAACATGGCTGAATTCTCCCTGAAGAATGTCTCAAAGACTGATGAAGGACGGTATACATGCTACTACCACAGCCTCACTGACCCTGTCATCTGGTCCAATGCCAGCAACCCTGTGGCGCTGAAAGTCCTGGGTGAGGAAAGGCAAGAAGGTTACATCTTGCCAAAATTAAAGCAGATGGATCTTTTACCTGAATTGTACAATGGGTGAGGAATGGTGGCTCCAGGTTGGGATTGACTGAGACAGAGTATGGTATAGTGGTTAAAGGCAGCAGGCCAGAAACTAGGAGACTTGAATTCTAGTCCCACCTTAGGCATGAAAGCCAGCTGGGTGAATTTGGAACAATCACCAGGAACTTGTGAGCTCTAGTCCTGTAATAGGCATGAAAACCAATTGAGTGACTTTGAACCAGTTACCAGGAACTGAATTCTAGACCAGCCTTAAGCATGAAAGCCAGCTGTGTTACTTTGGGCCAATCACTAGGACAGCGATCACCAACTGGTGGGCGGTGGTCCATTGGTGGTCCATGAGAAAATTTTGGTGGGCCGCAGAGAAATCTCACCCCCAGAGCAGCCCCTGTGCTGTCCAGACAGTTTATAGTTAATGGGGAATTGGGATAGTTAGTTAGGAATTGGGAGCTGTCCTCTTAAGGAAATGCATCGTGGTAAATGTAGTTAAGGTATCCTAGGAAATGTAGTCCATGTCATGTGGCCACATCTGTAATCCTGATTGGCACTGAATTAACCTTTGGTGGGTTGGGGGAGGTTCTCTCAATCTTGCTCGGACCTGAGTGTCGTGCTGGCATTTCTCACCTTTGCTCCACTACTATGGGATGAAAAGAGCACTATTCTTTTATATCATAAAGTTCAGCTATGCAGAGAATTGGACATTGAGATGAATCTCGATGTAACTGTGAGTTATATTTGAGGATGCCTGATGAAACAATAAGAAGACTTTGTATGGATGCCTTTGTGGAGTTTAATCTGTCTGCTTTATAATCAGATAGAGGTTGTAAAGTCCAGAACAGATTAAACTCCACAAAGGCATCCATACAAAGTCCTTTTATTGGTTCATCAGGCATCCTCAAATATAATTCACAGTTACATCAAGATTCATCTCAATGTCCAATTCCCTGCATAGCTGAACTTTATGGTGTAAACGGATAGTTCTCCTTTCATTCCGATAATGGTGGAGCAAGGGGGTGAGGCAGCGGCATGCTGCTGGGGTCTAGGAAAGAGTGAAGAAACCTCCCCCAACCCACCAAGGGTCAATTCAGTGACCAATCAGGATTACAGATGTAGACACATGACATGGACTCCATTTCCCAGGATACCTTAACTACATTTACCATGATGCATTCCCTTAAGGGGACAGCTCCCAATTCCTAACTAACTATCCCAATTCCCAATTAACTATAAACTGTCTGGACAGCACACTCCCCGCCTGGAATTATAAATTCCACCACCAACTAAATATGAACCACCTATATAACTAAGAGAAACAGTAAGCAATAATAAAGCATCAAACAAAACAAAGCATGCAAAGCTTGAGGTTCAATCTTCAAGTTCAGCCTTTCTCCGCAGCAACATTAGGTCGGTGGCTGGTCTGGTGCAGAGCTTCTTGGTGAAAGTCTACTGGTCGCAGGAAGAATCTTGCGACCTCACTATCAGGACCTTGACTTGGCGGACTAGTCCATCAGAACTTGGTAGGACTTGTTGCACAAGTCCCATAGGCCACAAGTTCAGATGCCACCATCAACAGTCGACCATTAGTTCCGGTTTCCTCAGATCCTGAGAATCCGACGATTCTCACTCCAGCTACTTTATTAACTCAGAAGATGGGTGACTGGCCCGCACCGTTAGGGAACCTTGACTCTAAGGACTTGTACAAACAACAATGGAGACAAGTTCAACAGCTTGCCAATACCTTTTAGAACCGTTGAAAGCAAGAGTACCTGTCTACCCTACAAGATGTTGTAAATGGAAGACCAAAGAACTGAACCTCAAAGAAGGAGACCTTCTCTTGCTAAAAAACAAGGATGTGCATCTGAACTTGTGGCCTATGGGACTTGTGCAACAAGTCCTACCCAGTTCTGATGGACTAGTCCGCCAAGTCAAGGTCCTGATAGTGAGGTCGCAAGATTCTTCCTGCGACCAGTAGACTTTCACCAAGAAGCTCTCCACCAGACCAGCCACCGACCTAATGTTGCTGCAGAGAAAGGCTGAACTTGAAGATTGAACCTCAAGCTTTGCATGCTTTGTTTTGTTTGATGCTTTATTATTGCTTACTGTTTCTCTTAGTTATATAGGTAGTTCATATTTAGTTGGTGGTGGAATTTATAATTCCAGGCGGGGAGTGTGCTGTCCAGACAGTTTATAGTTAATTGGGAATTGGGATAGTTAGTTAGGAATTGGGAGCTGTCCCCTTAAGGGAATGCATCATGGTAAATGTAGTTAAGGTATCCTGGGAAATGGAGTCCATGTCATGTGTCTACATCTGTAATCCTGATTGGTCACTGAATTGACCCTTGGTGGGTTGGGGGAGGTTTCTTCACTCTTTCCTAGACCCCAGCAGCATGCCGCTGCCTCACCCCCTTGCTCCACCATTATCGGAATGAAAGGAGAACTATCCGTTTACACCATAAAGTTCAGCTATGCAGAGAATTGGACACTGAGATGAATCTCGATGTAACTGTGAATTATATTTGAGGATGCCCGATGAACCAATAAAAAAACTTTGTATGGATGCCTTTCTGGAGTTTAATCTGTCTGCTTTATAATCAGATATGGGTTGTAAAGTCCAGAACACCCTCCCCAAAGCAATTAATCCAGGCTGCGCAGAAACACAAGGCTGCCCACATGGCCCACGGGAACCCTCCCTGCCCATTCACTCCTTACCCGGCAAATTTGCCTGCTCAATTGCTATTTTTCCTTTTTTCGATCATCAGTTGTTCTGCTGTGCCAGGAGATTTAGATTAGCTAGGAGGCAGGAAATGGTTGGATTTCTTGCTTTCTAGCTAGTCTTTAGATCTTTGGCTCTGCTTTTAAGCACAGCTGAACCTCCCTTAGGACTGAAGGTTCTATTACTCAGTGCAGACTCATGGCAAGCAAATTTAAGAGACTGAGCTAGCCGATGGCAGATAGACAGATCACTGAATGATTCTGTGAGCAATTCAATCTGCCTGCCTGCTTTGCCTGCTTTGGGGTAAAAGTTGCTCTTTTTTAAATAAAAAAATCAATATTTACATACATGGTGTGTTGTGAGTTAATTTTATGAGTTTGCTTGCAAGCAAATTTGTGACAGACTGAGTGACAGACTGAGCTAGTGACAGACTGAGCTAGCCAATGGCAGATAGATAGATTTCTGAATGAATCTGTGATTCTGTGAACAACTCAATCTGCCTGCCTGCTTTGCCTGATTTTGGGTAAAAGTTGCTCTTTTTTATAAAAAAAATCAATATTTATATAAATATTTATAATATTTACATACAAGTCCTGCCCAGTCATTCACATGACCACAAGCCACACCCACAAATTAGGCCACACCCACAGAACCGGTTAGTGGTCCCTGAGATTTAAAATTATGAGTTTGGTGATCCCTGAGGTCCAAAAGGTTGGCGACCCCTGCGCTAGGAGATTGTGAGTTCTAGTCCTGCCTTAGACACAAATCCAAAAGAGGGTCTTGAGATCAGTTCTTCTCTTTCAGCTCCAGAAAGAAGAAGGCAATGGGGTGGGGAAACCCACTTCTGAATATATTGCTGAGTCAAAACTGAATTTAAAGGCATATTCGGATATGATTAAAATGGCTGATTTTATCCTGATCTCCCACCTAGTAAACTCCCTTTGTGAGGTTACTCTTTTGAGTTATTTAATATACAATTGCCATTTTCTGGAAGATCTTTTGTTTGAACTAAAGAAAGGTAGCATAAGAAGGGAAAATACTGGATTAGTCATAATTTAATTCCTGCACTATTCTCTCTCTTACTCATACATACACACATAACACACAACCGTATCCCAATATTTATTTCAGAGAACTGCTTGTTCTCTTACTTTCTTGGTCCTTTCATTTGTTCCTTTGTGTGAAAAAAGTACACGGAAAAGTTCATGTCTGGACACCCTACGTTATTAGAAATTCCAGTAATCTTTGCGGGAATGACTAAATTAATAAAACCATCCAGCTTTTGTTTCTGAAATATGATCTGGGGAGTAAATAGGGTAATAAAAAGAAGGCTGAGTTCTTACTTACCAGCTGAGAGGACAAAATGGCCACCACAACTTTACAATCCAAACCTCATCATCATGTTGACTTTTTTGACCTATTCCTGGCAAACTGCCTTGCTTACTCATTTTATTGCCTTTTTACACGATTACTGATTTTTTTTTCAGATGGGTCTGATGTTAGCAGATATCAAGAGGTGTTGGTTGACTCTGAAGGGAAGCATCGAGTGAATTGTTCAATGCCTCCCACAGCTGAGGGATGGTTCCATCTCTATGTTGATGGGGAGTTCTTTGCTGAAACCAGAGCATGGCAAAATGGGACAAGCGCCAGCTTTGGGCTCACAGAAGATGCCCTCAGAAACCTCAAGGGAAAACTGAGCTGCCAGTTTGGGGAAAACCAGCTCAACGACACCATAAGGCAGACACAAGGTGAGTTCAGAGAGAATGAGGGTGGGAGAGACTGAGAGAGTGGAGGTGATTGTGAGGTACCATCAAGGTAAATGAGGGTTTGCAAAGCCTTCGAGGAGCTCACAGTCCAAACTTTGAAGAAAATACTACAGTTAAAGAGGAAGTGTGGGGACCTTGGTGCCTCTCTGAGCTTGGCTGTTTTCTTGCAGACGTTTCATTACCCAGCTAGGTAATATCATCACTGCAAATCCCATTCCTTTCTAGCACTGATGATATTATCTAGTTGGCAGGGCTGTCTTAACAGCATTATGGGCCCTGGGCAAAACAATGTACTGGGGCCCCTGCAACAACTACTCACAGGAATAAAAAGGAGTGGTATGAGTGGCTGACATTGCACATGTGCTGAACCACAATGTTAATTTGGGAAGTTTTCTAATTTTCAGTGTTAATTTATATTAATGCATGTTAGTATTAATAAAAAAGATGCAGTAAAATGTAATAAATATGGTGTTGTATTTATATGATACAAGGTGCATTGAAGGGTTAATATGCACAGATTAGTATGGGGCCCTTGTACTGGTCGGGCCAGTGTCCATCAGGCCCCTGTGTTAAAATTGCTAGTTGGATAATGAAATGTCTGCAAGACGCTGCCTGCAATTTGCCAGTTCGAATCTCATCAGACTCAAGGTGGACTCAGCCTTCCATCCTTCTGAGGTGGGTAAAATGAGAAGCCAAAATTGTTGGGGCAACATGCTGACTCTGTAAACTGTTTAGAGAGGGCCATAAAGCACTAGGAAGCGGTATATAAGTCTAAGTGCTACTGCTATTGCTATCATTATGGCCTTGCTCCCCACATTGCTGGAGTCTATCCTGCGGATGTTCCCAGCGAGTGATGCTTTCTTGAGTCTGCATATGTAAGGAGAGTTAAGTAAATGGACTGGTTGATGCCTCCAGCTTTGTATCCCAATCTCTCTTGCTGTCATAAGGATCTAGTTTATAAAGGGGATGACTTTGAAAGAAAGGGGGAAGATCTGTTACCAAAACCACTAAGAAGGAAAATCCAAACAGTGAGGGAGGATTACAAAAGTGTTTCAGACACCACCACCCTAATTCACATCAGTATAAAAGTTAGGAGGGGTTAAGCTTAATCAGACTTACAAGATTAGGTTGCTATAACCAATCTAAATAAAAGTAGTTTTTAAATGTTCTATAGCAGGGGTCCCCAACCACTGGGCCCCAGACCGATAACCGATCCGTGGATCATTTTCTACTGGGCCACCAGTTTGCTGGGCACCGCCATCTTGTTTCGACGAGAAAGTGCTTCCGGGTGAGCTTTTCCGATTGGAAAGCGGCATTTGGGTCCTGAAGGAATCCTCGTGCCTTAGTTTCATTGAGGGGGGGGGCAGCGGCTTCAAACGAAGAGCCATCCCGATGGCGGAGGAGATTAAGAAAGCACAAAAAAGCACAAAAAAGGTACAAAGGAGGAGTTGAAGGTGGCGGGGAGAAGCGGGGGACGGCTGGCTGACCGGTCACTCGGCTCGCCTTGCCTTGTCATGCGTGCTGATGCCGGTATCGGGTCGCGGATCATTTTGTGATGCCGGTACCGGGCCGTGGCACAAAAAAGGTTGGGGGCCACTGTTCTATAGAGTCTACAGGTAGAGTCCTCGACTTATGATTACAGATAGTCCTCAACTTACAACCACAATTGAGCCCAACATTTATGTTGCTAGGTGAGAAACTTGTTAGGTGAGTTTTGCTCCATTTTACAAATTTCCTTGCCATGTTTGTTAAGTGAATCACTGCAGGTGTTAAATTAGTAACCTGTTTTGTGAATCTGGTTTCCCCATTGACTTTGCTCATCAGAAGATTGCAAAACTTGACTCTGGAACGCTGCAACTGTCATAAATGTGAGTCAGTTATCAAGCATCCGAATGTAAACCACATGACCATGGGGATGCTGCAACGGTCAGAAGTGTGAAAAATGGTCATAAGTCATTGTTTTCACTGCTGTTGTAACTTTGAACAGTCACTCAATGAACTGTTCTAAGTCGAGGACTACTTGTAGTCTCTTAGCAACCATTCATCATCATAATGGGAGCCCAGAAAGCTACTTACGACCTGGATTCAAAATTCCAGTGTTTGGGTCCCCACTGCAGTTACATGCCTACATTTTGGGTGCTTGGCAGTTGACCCACAATTATGGCTGTTTGCTGCATTCTTTGATCCCACAACCATGATTAATGATATTTTTGCTGAAACTGGCCTTTATTTCTGATTACTGGCAAAAAAAAAGTCCCCTGGTGAACAATGGGTTTGCTTAACAACCTCAGCATTCACTTAACGAACACCATATTCAGTTTATGAGTGCCATAATTCCCTAACAACAGCCGCAAAAAAGGTTGTAAAATTGGCCACGCTCACCCACTTTAGTGGCTCGCTTTTGAACCATCATGACTTAGGAACAAAACTGTGGGCTCAATTACAGTTCCAACTTGAGAACTATCTGTATTTCCTGATCTGGTCTATTCACCCAGAAAGACATTTGTCAAGAGATTGTCCTCTGTAGGGATCTCACTGGGCGTTGGAGAAAAAATGGGAAATAGAAGACTGGGGGCTGGGAGACAGCCAAGGGCCTACTTATATTGAATCTCACTATGGTACAATTTCAGCTTTGGACAAAGCACTCTTACCAGTGCAGACAGGGCAAGCCATTAGAATGTAAATTGAGAATAAACACATTCCTTACTGATGTTGTTATCTAATTTGGGTAATGAAATGTCTGCAAGAAAACAACCAAGCTCAGAGAGCACCAAGGATGTTTCATGAGTGTGCCAACTCAGCCAGCTGTTTGTTTAACAGTTATGGTTAAGCACATCATGGCAATGATTTAATTCTGGTCATGAGTTGATTACAAAAGTTTGAAGGATCAGTGGCAATTCTGTTCCTTTCAGGGAAGATTTAATCAGTTGTGCTCAAGCCAGCCAGAACGAAATTTAAATAACAGTCTTATAATTAAACTATTAAAGTTCAAACCATTAAAAGCTCATCAAATACAAAACATGTCATTAAGAAAGTCAGATTGCATAATAAAGATCTATTGTGAAAATGCTTTCCTTTTTACAGTATATCTATATATACACTTTTTTTTTCCTTTAAAGAGTCACTTCTGCCGAGCACTGATTTCACGGCAGCCCATTCCATTCGGCTTGGTCTCGGGTTCACAATCCTTCTTGCAGCTCTGGCTTTTGTGGCTAATGCATTTTGGACTGAGAGGCACCCGGAAAACTGAGCCAGGCAAAAGCTTCTGAATCAGCAAGATATGTGGAGTCACAGAAAAGCATGGCTTGAAATGGTCTTTTCTGGCAGTTGCATCTAGTGAGAAGAGGGGTCAAGTCACTGAAAGTTTCCTGTGCAGATTGAAGCTTTCATTATGCAAAACTGTTTATCAAAAAGTCTTATTGAACTGGAGAAGTGATTGCAAGTCTTTTTCTTTAGCACCTTCATAACTTGGAACAGCCTCTGAATGAATGGCCTTAACTCGAGGACTATCTGTATCATAAAAACAATGTCATCTGTATGTCATTTCAACAAATTACCTTTGGTAATGTCATCCATTTTCATCTTAAAAGGAATACTTTGGGAGTTTTGAATGTATTTTAGCACATGTGGCAACCTTTAAGTCAATTTAAATTTAACTGTCCTGCTGTGATGGGTAATGGATTCATGCATCATTACCCGAAGAAAAACTTCTTTTACCCAATTTGGGATAATTTGCCCAGATTTAGGAAGCCGTAGAAGCTGGTCTTCATATCTGCAATAAAGGCTGCTTTTATTTTATTTATGTACTTGTCTGTCTTATGGAAGATTGGAGGTAGATAGGAGTTTTATAGAGAATTATTGCAGTAACCAGAATACTGTCAGAGCAGTCCTCAACTTACTCTCTTACTTCTGGGAAGCTAGATTGAGGTGAACAAAATTCCCTGAAACAGGAATTTTTTCAACTTTGTGTTATGGATGCTTGTTAACAAAATATGGAAGATAGTGTTATCTGTTGAAGAAAATTACAGTACCGCTGATATTTCTCCCAGTGTAGGCAGTTCAGCCAATCAGAGCACAGAATCTCACTGAATGGCTGAACCGATTGGGAGTAAAAGAGTGGTGTCGAACCTTAGAAACAAATAGCATCTCCACCGGCCCTTGCAGCTTGGAATTATGGGATTTGCAGTCCAACCCTCTATAAAGATTCCCATTTCTTGAGGGACTGTCACAGAGAGAAGTGGGTCAACCTATTTTCCAAAATATCTGAAGGCCAGACAAGGAATAATGGATGGAAACTGATCAAGGAGAGATTCCACCTAGAAATAAGGATAAATTTTCTGACAATGAGAACAATTAACCATTGGAACAGCTTGCCTTCAGAAGTGGTGAGTGCTTCATCATTGGAAGCTTTCAAAAGGAGACTGGACAACCCTCTGTCAGAAATGGTGTAGGGCAGTGGTGGCTAACCTTTTGGGGCTTCTGTGCCAAAACTTGTGCATATGCTTGTGCGCGCACGCTCACTCACATGCCAGCACCCAGAAGGCAATGCACGCTGAGCCTCCTGCCGCCCGCACATGTGCACGAGACCCCCCATGCACACTGCACTTCTCTGCACATGCACATGTGTCTCTTGCGCCCCTGCACATGCACACCAGATACCTGACAATTAGCTATCAGGTGGGCCGTGCGCACAACACATGTTTAGTGGGACTCTTACGGGTGACCTCTTGCGTGACAGCTCTGTGTGCCACTTCCAGCGCACATGCCATAGGTTTCCCATCACGGGTGTAGGGTCTCTTTCTTGAGCAGGGGATAGACTAGATTACCTACAAGATGCCATAAGGCATGTAAAAAAAAGAGAGGCAGGGCTCCAATTGTGTGGTTGCTGCCACCATCTTGACTTTTTTGACCTCTTTTTGGATACCCATGGGTTGTACATCATTTGCACAATAATATTGCAGTGCCCTTGACACCACTTGCCTAATTGTTTCTTGAATGGACATTCATGGATGAATGTTTCATCCATAAAAATCTTCTGTACTTTTGTCTTGATTATTCTTTTGCTTTTAGCTTAGCAAATCACAAAATTGAGACTATGGTGGCACAGAGGTTAGAATACAGTACTGCAGGCTACTGCTACTGACTGCCAGCTGCTAGAAGTTCAACAGTTCAAGTCTCACTGGATCAAGGTTGTCTCAGCCTTCTATCCCTCTGAGGTCAGTAAAATGAGGACCCAGATTGTTGGGGGCAATAGGCTGACTCTGTAAATCGCTTAGAAAGTGCTGTAAAGCACTGTGAAGCTGTGTAGAATCTAAGTGCTATTGCTATTTATAAACCATAATATACAATTGCCAGATAATTATTTAACACTAAGCAAGTCACAGCTTAGCATAAGCCAATATAAGAAGAAAAAAAAGAACATAAGGCCCATATTTTGAATATACAAGAAATTAAATTAAATACTAGCTATCCATCCTTTGTGTTAACTCAGAAATAGGTCCAGTGAATGTCACTGTTATACATATTTTGGGGGTTTAGAGAATAGGCCAAATGATTGTCAGTACATTTACTTGTAACTAAGGAAAACATGCTTAGAAATTAGCTAAATATGCTAAAAGAAAGGCTGAGAGAAGTGTGTGAGAAGTCACAAGGTCTAAAACTAAAGCTGTTTACTAAGATCTATGAATGTTTTCATCATTAAAGCAGAATGCTTAAAATATGGTGTGCAGAATGCTTAAAATATGGTGTGCTACCTTACTATAGCACACATCAATCATTTATTTAACGTATCAATAAAAAAAGCATGGATAGCCAAGAATTTTTTTTTTTTAAGCATCAGTTTCACTTGAGGCACAAACAACTAGGCTCAAGTGACCATGTTCAGGATACATTATTCAAAGACTTAATTCCAGAGGTGGTATTCAGCAAGTTCTGACCCGTTCTGGAGAACTGGTGGCGGAAATTTTGAGTAGTTTGGAGAACCAGCAAATACCGCCTCTGACTGGAGATTTTAAGTATCCTTCCCCTGACATGCCCACCAAGCCACGCCCACAGAACCGGTAGTAAGAAAATTTGAATCCCACCACTGCTTAACTCCCTGGAAGAATCCATAAGGCTGGGAAAAATGGAAGGAAAGAGAAGAAAAGGATCTCTACAACAAGGTGCAGCTACTCAGGGCTCAGAATGGGACAACTCGCCACAGCAGGACAATTTAACAATTCAATTGAATTATTTAAAATATTTAGTTTTAATTTTTGTCATCCACCCATTTCATTTTATCCCTCCTTTCTTTAATGATTCTATTCCGCTATTTCTTTGATATTAGTGAAACTCTTGTTGTGCAACGAGTTGTCCCACCACAAGTTGGCTGTGGTGAGTTGGCCATTGGAAGACCTGAAAGACCAGCTTGGAAGCAGACCAGTTTGGAGAAGGCCCTGGGGGCACATAATCAATAAGCATTAGAAATGTGAGTTTATTGGGGTAGTCTCTGCTCTCTGCCACCAGCACGAAGCTATGTTGGGCTGCCGCTTAGAAGACAAAGATCATGTCCACCCTCAGCAGTAAAAATTCACTGGGAGATACTGGACCATCCGCAATCCTTATCTCCACTCAAGCACTCTTACAAGGCAGTTTGAGCACCCCTGGAGAGAAGGTGGCGATGGGACTTTCTTCCCATTCTTCCTGATTTAGGATTGAAGGGAGATACCTCTCCTCACACACACCCCAAACATATAATGCAGGTAGGTACAACCGTTCATTTAGTGGTAGTTTGAAGATGAATTGAAAAACAGAGACTTACAACCAGTCCTCACACTTACAACCACCACAGCATTCCCACAATTACACTGTCAGGTTCCAAGTAATGCAATCATCATAAAAAGAATTCAGAGGCATTGCATTGCAATTCCTCAAAGAATCATTTTATTTAATTGCACATCTTGGCACAAACTGGTGAAAGCCACTACTGAAAGTTTCCCAGGCTTCCACGTCACCATAGCTAGAACCTTCACATTTTCCCAAAACAATATGTCACATTGTTCAACCAGGAGATGAAATAGTTTCTTGGCAACTTCACTCCTTCTGCTGAGGAGCAGTTGGAATGCAGCTGACTCATTGCCCAGCTATGTTTTATTTTATTTTATTTATTTTATTTGTCAAGCAAGTATTAGATAACAGGCATAAATATGAGCATGGTTATGAATACATGAAATGGATACGAATAAAAAAGAAACAATGGGGCAGAGAAGGTAGGCACGTTGGTGCGCTTATGCAGACCCCTACAGACCTCTTAGGAAAGGGGTGAGGTCAATAGTAGACAGTCTAAGGTTAAAGTTTTTGGGGTTTGGGGAAGAAACCATAGAGTCAGGTAGAGTATTCCAGACATTGACCACTTTGTTGCTTTGTTGTTTTGGCTGGAGCTTCATCCACTTCAGTTCTCCTCCCCAGCCCCACCCAATTTCTCAAGTGTGTCAGGATTCTGGCAGTTACCCCAATTAAATCATTAGTCTTGAGCAAACTTCCCAAACTTCAAAGGATTTATTAGAAGTTAACATGTTGGCATGACCTGGATGTAGCTGATTCTGAGTTTCTATGCCTGTTTTAGAGTTACCAAAGTGTGTCATACTGAATTCATATGATTCCACCACTAATCTAAATTCAGGCTTGACATACATGATCAAAATTCAGGCACTTGGCAACCAACCCATACTTATGATGGTTACGGTGTCATTGATTGGTATTCTCAACCTTCCCAGCTGACTTCCGACAAGCAAAGTCAATGGGGGAAGCTGCATTCGTTTAACAACTGAAGTGATCCAGTTGTTAAGTTGTGAATTGAGTTGCTTAACCTTGGCAAAAGATGTCATAACATTGGGTATGACTCACTTAATAGCTGTCTTGCTTAGCAATATAAATTCTCTGCTCAACTGTGGTTGTAAGTCAATGATCACAGCCCTGGGGGTGGTGACCCTTTGAGAGTTGTATGCAATGAAATTTCATTTTAATGTATGCCAATTAGTGTAAATTCGAAGTGACAATAGTTCAGCCTTTCATGTTGCCTCTCTGAAAAGGACCATTTTCTCATCTGTCTTTGAAATAGCATCATGAAAATGTTACACTCTTTTTGATATAATGAATAATTAAAAAGTAATAAAGAATACAATTGACATTTTTATTAGTTGAATTATATTGCAAAAGTCAAAAAATGTACAGCGGAATCTTCTTATTATTTCACTAGAAACAGGAAATTACTTTCTCTTTAACAAACAGGAGGAAAGGAAAGAAAAAAGCAAGTCCACTTTTCTCTACATTTACAAAGAAAAGGTTTCCTTCAAGAAAAAAAACATAGTTAAATAGTGCTTCTTGTTTATTTATTTCAGAATTGCTTATTTGTTTTTGAAATGTTATATATTTACACTGCATCCTGAGGCTGCATCCAAATTTCGGCAGCTTTAATCAAAATAAATATAATTTTATTCTATCAGCTATTCACTGTTAATAAGTTTGTTTTTATCAGTAGTAAGCATTTTGTAAGTGGCGGCTAATAATATATTTCTTCTCATCTAGCTGTTCTGCCGCTTGTTTTCTTTGCCTGCTCCAATTTTAATTCATGTTTGTAACTGGATAACCTTTGATACCTCAGATGGACTGAAGTCCAAAAGCATGTCTGATAACAAAACTCTTATTTTTAAGATTTCACCTTTTTGTTGCTTTAGAACTGGGATCTTCAAACTTGACAGCTTTAAG